CTGTACTGACTGCTCCCACCGTGTTATCCCCCCCTGTACTGACTGCTCCCACCGTGTTATCCCCCCCTGTACTGACTGCTCGCACCGTGGTATACACTCTTAAATTAAGCACTGTATTCTCTATTTAACAAACTTTACATGATTAATTGGTTCCTAACTAGTCTTTAGACAGTGTGGCAAGCAGTACAATAATTTATCCCTAGCTGTTAGTGTGCTCTATGGATGCAGCTGTTGGGTCAGGGTGTAGAAAGAGTGGAAATGACCAGCCCTGTTCATTGCTGACTTATTTGGAGCCTGCAGTCTATTATATTGTTGCTATTTCTGTTCATCTATTTCTAGTGACTAACTGCAATACAATGCAGAGTAATATGTGCCTGTTGTGTAGATATGTAAAAAAGGTATGCTGGAATTTAGTGCTAAATATTGGAATTGTCTTTGTACTCTCTAACATTTGTTGGTAGTGACTTTGTTTAATTAGGCTACTGCCTTAGCAAGTGGTTTACGCTTTTATATTGTACATTCTTCTGACCCAAGCATCTTGCAGTTTATGCAATGTTTTGGAGAGCTAGTGTTCACTAATCTATAGGTTAAACAAATGTAGTGTTGCCCACACGCAATGTTATCTAGGTTTTGTGAATTAAGTTAAACAGTTCATTCAAGGAAACTGTGTTTCTTCTAGTTAGTCCGGAATGGATTTGTAATGTATCAATTGCATTATATATTAGACTAAAAAGAGGGTATCTTGCTTTTATTTGTGAATGCATGGACTACAGACTGCTTGTTTTGAGAAGCTTTATTGCTGTGGGCTGAGCAGCTGGTCTGGCTCTACATCTTGATAACCCTCTACTTATTGTATGTTTTAATGTTTGGAAATGTATGTATTGATGCGTTTCCCAACAAGAGTCCACAGTTTGTCATGTGTGATTTAAAGACTGCAATATTGTCACCTTTTTCAAGACACTGGATAAGGCATTTTGTCTTCGTATTAGGATTTTTACCCACTAAATATTTTTCAGGGAATTCCAAACATGTTTGTGTAAATTTACGGGGTGTTTGGTTTTTCTCTTTTCTCCATCTCTTTATATAGCTATATTTCTGAAGTCGTGTAAATGTCTGTTTGAGCAGGGTATACATTCTCTCTGCTAAAAACGCAGCTTACTTCAAGTATATGTTTTGGCTTCAAGGGGTTTGTGTAACTGTCTTGAAGTTGCCAGTTCTATGAAAGAAGGTTAAAAAGGAAAATACTCTTGAGCTCCAAAATCCACTATAGCTTAATGTTTTGATTATGGTGCTATCCCATCTGAAAACAGGTTGCAAAAAGGCAAAAACAAAAAGTTTGTCAAAAACTTATTGTATACATACCACCTGAAACTTTCTGCTTATTTTTCCAGCATATGGTGGCAGTACCTATGGGTTGTGCCTCCTTAACTGGGACAAGCATCTACGAGAGAGAAGTTAAATAAAAGTCCCTTCCCATTATCCCATAAAGGGCTTCCCCTGGCAAATCCACTTTGGTTATCCTTGCCCCAGCACGGGGATGGATTAAGCTTCTACTTGAGGTGAGGCACACAGGTTGATGTCTGGGGGAGGAAGCACAAGAGCCACCCAAGTGGTAGGCTGAGCAGCATGCGCCAAGTATGTTCTAGCTTTGATTATGGACGGGCAAGGGGATGCCTTTGTGACGCTACAGGCAGTGCGCACAGCGGTGGAATGCATGCCAGGGTGGTGTTGCGTTCCACTGAAATTCTGGGTATGCCACTGCACACGTGAACTGGAACTTCTGTGAAAAGGCACCAGATTTGAATCAATGGGTGTATAAATGCTGTGCTGTTTACCTTCTGGATGCTGGTCAGAACGGATTCTATCACCAGCCCCACATGGCTCAGGTTTTTGAGGTAAGATTAAATAATCTTTACTTTGAAAATCTTTGCTTTCTGTAAAACAGTTTAGGGTCTTAAAGGTATACTTCTGTTATGTTTCAGATATGTCTAGCCCTCAGCAAATGGATAAAGACATGCCTACTCCTGCAACTAGGAAGGCCTCATCCAAAGCCAAACATTTAGTTTGCAATGAACCACCCCCCTATGGGATGGCACTAGGCTTAAAGTGTGTAATCAATGTCTTTAGAAAAATCCAAACAAAAGGATATGCAATCATTCCTGTTCTGGTCATATTTTTCCCTCCTGTGATCTTTCTTCAGTCCTGCAAGTGCTCTGTGAACCTCCTTTTTTGAACCTTTTGGAGTGTCTTCCATTGAAGAAACTCATACTCAAGACTGCCATCACTTGGTGGCCATCACCTCTGCCAATAGAGTAGGTGAACTTCAGGCTCTTTCTTTATCGGACGATTTTGTTATATTCCATAAGGTAGTGCTCCATCCTAAGCCTTCATTCCTTTCGAAGGTTATTGCTTCTAGAGCTGTTAATTAGCCCATCGTTTTACATTTCTTCTGCAATAATGCCACTTCGCCGCAGGAACTAAAATGACATAAATTGGATGTTAGGGGAGCTTTACAGATCTACCTTTCAGGTTTGAAGGGCAAAGAGCCTCTTGTAATTCACTCTTGTTGGTTGATGCAATCAAGATGGCGTATGCTTCCTATAGCTACTTCTCTTAAAGCACATTCCACAAGAGCAATGTCCACATCTCTGGCAGAAGAGGCTCTTGCTTCGCCTGAAGAAACTTGCAAGGTGGCTTCTTGGTCATCATTCAACACCTTCATCAGGGATCACCGGCTATAGGTGTATTCTCATCCTTTGAAGCTGCATTTGGGCATAAGGTGCTTCAAGCTATTGTGGCGTAATGCCCACCCAATGGCAATCTATCTATATCCCACAAGTACTGCCACCATATACCAGGAAAAAAGTTTACGTACTGTAAATATTTTTTTCTTAATATGATGGCAGTACAATACTCCTTCCCTCTGAATAAAAATTTACTTGTTTGACTTGTGTGGTGTTTTTAATTGCTACGACTGAGCTGGGTTTGCCGGGGTAAGCCTTTAATTTTTTTATGGGATAAAGGGGAGGGAATTTTAATTAACTTCTATCTTGTAGATGCTTGTCCCAATTAAGGAGGCACAACCCACAAGTACTGCCACCATATTAAAAAAATAAATAAAAATTACAGTAAGTAAAAATTTGTTTCACGTTCCGGTTCCCTATCCATTCTCAAATGGCTTGAACATGCACTGATGGTTCAAATCTACAGTGTCCCACACACTCTGCCAATATAAATATTCTTATGGTGTGCAAATGACTAAGCCTCAAAGGCTCTGTGCAACAGCATGAATCTGGATGTATGCATGTGCAGTGACATGGTCAGGTGATAACACTGTAAAGCTTTGTTCTTAAAGCTGTTTGGGCTTGTTGGTCTACAGCTGATATCCTTTTAGGTATTCCCTTCAACTCAAAGCGGCTCTCTCCTTCTGAGTTTGTCTCAAAGGTGACAAAGCCGCTTATGTTGCGGTTGTCCATGGGTGCAGCAATATTAAGTTATAATCTAATGCTGTCACTGAAGGGCAGCACCACGTTCATTCTTTAATCCATGTTGGTCACATACAAAGGTACATTACTGATGTCTATGGTGGAACCTGTCTCACAATCAGTCTGCCTTATTTTCCCAGTTGTCGCTGGGTGGGTGAAGTAACAGATCCTGACCCTGGATGCTCTGCCTCTTGTCAGGCTAGGGAGTTACCATAGCACAAACTGGTCTCTATTTTGTCTTGTACCTTGCAATGACTTTCCAACCGTTATCAGCATTTCCTAAAGATTTTTCTTTATTAAATGCTCAATTGATGCTCCCCCACTTCATGTCTAGACAGACTTTCACTGTGCCCATCATATGTATCCTATAGAATGCTTCTCACAGAGCATCATTTTAATGCTTCCTTATGGAAGCTGTCCGTTATGCGTCAGCATTCATTTAAACAGGATGAATCAGGAAGTCCTTCTGGCTTTCAGATTGACTGACTGCCCGGGGGATGTTCTTAAATTAATTGATATACGTGCTAATTTCTTTTGACATTGTTGCTTTTATGAATTGGGGCAAGCGTGTATGCTGAAGCAGTTTGAGTGATCTGGAATCTTCAGCACTCTTAAGCTTCTATTTTTTTTTTAATTTATTTTTTTTTGTTCGCTTTGATGGCTTTTATCGGTTTACTTGGCTTGTTTTTAAGGGGGGGAGGGTCTCTTCTTCCCAATATTGATGCAATTTGCATATTCACCTTTTGGATGTGAATTATAATCTGAATAATGCAAACTTTCCTCCTGGATTTTTTTTTTTTTTTTCTCAAAAGTGCAGTATTTACCAGGCGTGATGTAGAAGACTGCTACTATGGAAGTAATTATTTACAGAAAAAAATCAGCCTGTTGATCTAATTAAGTCTTGTAAAAGAGAGTAAACACAGAAAATAAGCTGTGGACCTAGTTCTCAGATATGCTTGTTTGGTATGAGCAGTAAAAAAAAAGTTTAAGAACCATTTAATAGATGTTATACATGTTTCTTTTTCCATAGCTTTATTTTGAGTGTCACTATCTTTATTTCACCAGTAGCTTCAGTTTAGCTCTGTCTGGTAGTTCACGCTATAACTTTTGTTTCAGATATGGCTCGAGGACATCAGAAGATTCAATCACAACAAAAAAATGCAAAGAAACAGGCCGAAGCAAAGAAGAAACAAGGACATGATCAGAAAGCAGCAGCCAAAGCTGCCCTAGTATTCACCTGTTCGGTCTGTAGGGTAAGAGACCATTGCTTTTTAAAGGGACACTATAAGCACCAAAACAACTTTCGCTTCATGAAGCAGTTTGTGTGTGTTTCTGCAGTCTCACTGCTCAGTTCTCTGCCATTTAGGAGTTAAATCACTTTATATAATCCTAAAACATAGGTGCCTGTATTGCACAGTCTGTTTAATCTAGATTTTAGCTCCTACTCTAAGGGCAAAGAGCATGTGAAACCTCTAAAGCAAGTTAACATTTGATAGAATTTTTTATTTTATTTTTTTCATGCAGGCTGTGTGGGTCCCAGCTAGGGAAGGTGTGGCTAGGGCTGCATAAACAGGTGATTTTACTTCTAAATGGCAGGAAACTAAGCATTGAGAATCCAGGGGCATGATCCATAAACAAAAAATGCTTCATTAAAGGGACACTCCAGACCCAAATCACGTTGGCTTCTTGGAAAGCTTTGTGTGAAGAGTGTGCTTTTTATTTTTTTGCAAAACGTGCAGATTTCTATAGAAATTGACACTTTTATATATTAACCTGGTTACACCCCTCCCCCCGACTTTCAAATTGACAAAAGGTCCTGTTATTTCCTGGTTTGCTCAGTGGAGCTAAACTAAAGAGGCAGCTATTGCGCAGAGCACCTGCCTTGCATAGATTTCTCATTTGAAGTCTGCAATAAGAGACCCACAGAAAGTCTGGGTGGGGTCAGAGGAGGGTTTGAAAAGGAAAGGTTTTGCAAACCGTTTTTAAATATACCCCCTAATGGAAAAAATGAATTATTAAATGACTAAGTTTTCATTTGGGGTATATTGACTAAATTGTGATTTTTTTTTTTTTTGATTTTTTTTTAATTTAGCTTGTATTTGGGCATTGGGGTGTTCCTTTAAGATAAACTCTTTTGATGCCTATAGTATCTTTTTAAGATTGCCCTTAAAGTGGCTCTGTCGAGGTCTGGGGTATTTGCATACATTACCAATAGTAACTGCTCTGCTTGGCATCCGGTGGCTGTATGGTACAGCGTAAAGAGAGGTATCTGGTTTTGTGGTTTTTCTTTTTTCCTTTTCTCTTCTTTATTACGCTTACCTGAACCTGTCCCTCGTGGCTGCTGCCGTGGTCTTCCTGCCAGTCAGTTTTAACTGACAGGAGCACATGTTAATGTTAAACTTTAGTGCATGGGTTAACCCTGTTTTTAAGTCAATGGATGAGATTGAGGTATTTCCATTGAAAGAGCCTTTCTATGAGGGGATAACTCTCCAAATGTCTCTCACACAGCTGTGTAGCTTGAGTCACTAAAAATGTACCAACTTACTATATAAAATATTAAAACTATTTTATGGTTAAATTAAGAGCAAAAGTATAAAGCCAAATAGTTACTCTTTCAGGATAGGGTCATGTGTCTTTAAACATAAATATCACTGTCCTCTTAAAGGAACATGATAGGTACATAGACCACTTCATTTTAATAGTGCCATGCCTCTGTTTTAGCCCTGCAACGGAAACCTAGCAGGATTAACATGCCACTAGTGGCTGTCTGACTCGCAGCCGCTAGATGTTCCTCTGTCAAAGTAGCCGAGCTCATTTGACTTGTGCAGTGTGGTGATTTGTTATGCATGAACACTAGCCCCCCAGTGATTTTCCTATTAAGGGAGTTATTTACTAGTGATACTTAGAATTAAAAAAATATTGTGACAGTGTTAGGCTTAAAAAAGTGCCCTGTATGTCTTATG